CTTGCATATCATTGCTCTTTTGTTGATTTTGATTGCTTCTATTGTCTTCATTTGTAAGTTGCTTTGGATAAAAAAAAAAGTGACTAAGTATTGATAGTTGTGTAAATACTGTCATACTAACAGCTGTCTAATTTTTGGTTGATTGTAATCCATTACATACCTTTCTATCAAAGTTATCTGACATTATCAAGCTGAATTTGTTCTGACTCAGTTTAATTCTGAGTTCTTGTCATATTTTATTACCATTTTCTAAACTATAGCGAATAAACTGTGATAATGTGAGAAATGTTGAAGGTGAAATTTTGGTTTGACTGTATCTATTTGGTAAATAAAGTTAACCAACTAACATTATACATACTCTTTTGGTTTCTGTACCCAATATTTAAAAAATGTACAAATGCAATAAAAATATTGGTATCGGTACTCGGTATCGGCAAGTACCAAAAATAAAAGTATCGGTATCAGGCGAGTACTGAAAAAAGTGGTATCGATGCATCCCTAGTTTTTGCAATTATGTCACATTAACACCTGAACACAACCTGAAAATGGTGCTATAAACAGGTGACTATAGTAAGCCTTTTTTAAACTATCATTTATTTCAAATATCTATCTACAACAACGTTTGTGAAACCTGAAAGTGGTGTTATAAAGAGAAGATTTGGGGTAAGCATTTTGTTACTTATTATTTAACCCTCGGGGGTCGAAGCCCGTCTGTCTAGTTTTTTCTTGATGACCATGAAAATAACTAAAAGTGCTCCATAATTTTTGATCGTACAGATAAGAGTAAGGTATCATTTGAAACTGCAAAGGGTCTTCTTTTGTGTATATTTATAATGACAACAAAACAACGTGCTTCTGTAAAATAAAGAAAACAAACAGGGTGCGCTCTCTGACGTCTCAGTCTCTGTCACCTTTTTCATAGACACGTAAATAGAACAACCTGAATCTCAGTGACTACTTGCCTCACATACATGAGAAATATATGCATAGAAAGCTTGAAATTTGGTTTCACCTAGATATCACACTATAGAGATTGTGTCTGTTCCCCGAACTAGAAAATACAAAAAACGTCCAAACCAATTTAAGAGTAACAATTTAATTGATGTTCAACAAATAAAAAACAGATGCAATACGGATAAACAAATGATAAAGCTTGGCTTATTGAATATCAGGTCCCTTTTTACGAAAGCACTTTTTGTAAATGATATGATCACTGATCATAAACTAGATGTGCTCTGTTTGACAGAAACCTGGCTAAAACCTGATGATTACATTATTTTAAATGAGTCTACCCCCCAAGATTACTGTTATAAACATGAGCCGCGTCCAAAAGGTAAAGGGGGAGGTGTTGCTTCACACAAGATATATATATATATATATATATATATATATATAAAAGTAGTAAGAGTGTTTACAACATATGGGGCCGGTTGCATAAACTGCTTAGACTAGTCTTAAAAATGTTGCCATCTAATTTGTTTTCATGTAGACTGGTCATAACTGTTTAAGGTCAGTTACAAAAATGTAGATTGGCCCAATTTTAATCAGAAAAGTGAGACTGATTATCTCTTGGCCAACTGCTAGTTGGTCAAACTAGTTCTTAAGACAGTCTTAACATAGTATCTATGTTTATGCAACTGGCCTGTTAGAATCTAAGAATGTTTAACACAAAGGTGTGTTACTGTTCAAGTCTCAGTGTTTAGATCAGTATGTTGAATCATGTGTCCTTGCCCTTCTCTGTGTATATTTTGATTATACTGTGTTGTAAATAAAATATAAATAATCAAAACACCCATTTACTCTCCTCACATTCTTTGTTACCTGCTTCACAGACACATTACTCACTTATGGCCCATTAGGGGAGGGCTCCTTTGTCTCTCAGGTGTGAATCACTAAATATTCATGTGCCATTGTCACTCCCTCACATACGTCCTTTCTAACACACATCATGTCTTATAAAAGTTAAATCAATATATTTTTTTCTGTGAATGAGTGAACACATCAAGATTTTCACATCATTTTGGAGCAAAAACTCTAGACTACCACATCCAGTTCTCAAAAGTCTTAAACAAATGCTGTGTATGTGTTTTATGGTCTTATTTCAGTGACTTGAAAGTTTTCGTTTTTTTACTTACCACGCATAAACGCTGTTTTTTCAAAAACACAATCATGTACATTCATGCTGCTCACATATTATTGTAGCACAGTTTGTGCTGATTACAGTGTAATCAGACGTTAGCCATTTATATGTTTAAGATATTGAAAAAAATTCAAATGTCAGGGCATGTCAAAACCTCTCCAGGGCCCCAAAACCCCTCAGATCCCAGAGGGTTAAAATATCTATATGTACAACAAAAAAGTGTATGTGTGCCTGTGTGTAGGCATGCTTAATAGGGTTAACATGGAAAATGTGCCTTTAGTGGAGATTTCTGGTGGAAAACAGGCACTTTTAAAATGAAAGTGACATAATATTACCATTATAACCAGTCGATGGCAGCAGAGGACTCTTTTCACCTGCCTCAACATCACTCACACATCAACAAAGAGACATACACACATCAACATATAATTTTTTACCTATTTGCCACCTTACCTTATATTTTATTCAACTGTTTTAATCCGTTATGATGTGCACGCTGCACCTGCCTTAAGATCTCTCACTGTTCACAGCCACTGGACACTAATTGAATCACGTGATTTTTAATATTAAGTTAACTAATCTTGGCTGTGGCATGTTCTATGACAGCTGCACCTACAGTAGGTCTGACTGGTGAAGTGACATAAGAGTAGAAGCATTTTGTGTCGCATGCATCAATCGGAGTGTAAACAGTGAGAGATCGGCAAGTGCGATGCTTAGGCGTTATAAGTCAGGAATAAAATATAAGATAAGGTGGCAAATAGGTAAATAAGTGTAGATTTCTCTGTTTACGTGCTTATGTGCAACAGTTGAAGTGCAAATACTAAAAGATATTGAGGCAGGCGCAACACTCTCCATTATGAATTAAAAGACAGGAATAAAATATACAGTAATAGGTGTAGAATTGCACTGTCTGTTTGCTCATGTGCATCAATCGGAGGCTAAACATAGAGATCTCGAGACAGGTGAAAAGCGTTTGGTTAATAGTGAATATCGACCTATTGTGCGTACTGTTGAGCTTTCGCTTGTAGCAGGGTATAGTCGCTGCATTTGGGGTGAAAACGACAGACTTATTTATTGTGTAAGGTGCCAAAGAATATAAGGAGGCCTGGGTTTTCTGTTTGTTCGCACATATGGAAAATGCAATTAAAAAATACAATTTGCAATTTCTTTTGAAAATAGTCTGGAATATTCTTCCATAGGGTCGGCCTAAACCCATAGAATCGATAAAGGTCGTAAAGCGCATGATACCCGGTAATTGCTGCTTGCTGCTACAGTGCCTTGTGAAAGTATCCGTACCCCTCAGAAAAGGTTAGAAAAAAACTGCTACATTGAAGGTTCACAGAAGCATGTAGCTTGCATTATTCTTAATGGAAGAAGTTTTAAACAACCAGGGGTCTCATTTAGAAAACTCTCCATAGATTTCATCCTAAAAGTGTACGTAGGCACAAAAGCTAGATTTTGCGTATGCACAAAAGTTTTCAGATGTATAAAACCATGCGTATGCCAGAACCTGCGCAAAAATCCCTTTATAAATCCCAGTCAGGGGAAGATTGTGCGTAGGTGCATCTCCACCCCGACTCCACCCAGAAATCACCATATATGGAGCTTTCAACGCCTAGTTTTACTATGCATAACCTCATCTGCATATCATTTCCATGCATATTCCCATCCACGTGACACCATGTTTAACACCTTCAAAGGTACAAGACATTAAGGAAATATGAGATACGGACTATAAATGCCATTTGTGCCATACACATTAATTTTTATTACTAAAAATCATCCAGTATCCTTTTTAATATATCATCTATCTATTCTGTTAATATAATAGAATAAATATATCAAAATATCTATTAAAAAAACTGTTTAAAATAGTTCTCAGAAAAATAATTTAGAATAGAGTTGATCTCATTAATTTCCACTGGCCAAATAATATTTCAATTGTTTTAAAAAATTAAGTTTTGCTGATAAGGTCAACATCTTTTAGCTATTTTTAGTGGAAAAATATAGGCCTATATTTATTGCAGTGTAAATACAATTATCTGACTCTGCGCGTCACTGACAAAGTATTTTAAAAAGGAAACGTGCAAATCTTAACGTTTTCTTCAAGTTGTATCCTTCAAATACAGTGGTATTTTTCATAATGTTGTGGAGATGCCTTCACACGACATCAACACCTACGTGCAGCTGCGGATGTACAGTATGCTATTATCATTGGTCATATTCAAACCAGACAATAGACCGTTCCACCAAATCCAGAAGTGTCCGCCACAATATCGAAGTGATAACAATGATATCATTGATCATTGTTCTCGCTAAAAATATTTTCTCATAACATGAGATGTGGAGTTTAGTTTAAAGATAAATTATTGTGCACCTATAGCACTCCTCGCTGTCATTAAAACATAACATACCACAGGAAAAGTAATCAAGCGCATCCACTACAAATAGGCTATGTCTAAATTCATATAATTTTGGTTTAACTTCTGCGTAAATATATAATAGTGGAATATTTAATGTAAATTAATATGATGAAATGAAAACAGTTTAAAATCGTTGTTTGCTTCATTACTTTTCTCTCTCCAGGAAAAAAAGTCTGTACGCATGGGTCAGAGTTTGCGTGCAGGTGCGCAAATTTTCCCGTCAAGTTTGTTTTTTATAAATCTCAGGTTTTGTGCGTACGCAACAGTTATAAATGAGGCCCCTGGACTCTTCCTAGAGCTGGCCCCTTGGCCAAACTAAGCAATTGATGGCGAAGAGCTTTGGTTAGAGCAGGGGTGTCAAACTCGGTTTCTAGAGGGCCACAGCCCTACAGAGTTTAGCTCTAACCCTGCTCCAACACAGAAACCATGTAGTTTTCAAATAAGCCTAAAGGGCATGATTAGCTGGGTCAGGTGTGTTTAATTAGGGTTGGAGCTAAACTCTACAGGGCTGTGGCCCTCCAGGAATTGAATTTGACACCCCTGGGTTAGAGTGATGACCAAGAAGCTGATGGTCACTTACAGAAGGACAAACATCACTGCAACACACTCCACTGATCTAGGCTTTATGGCAGTGTGGCCAGACTCAATCCTCTCAGTGAAGACACATGAAAACCTTCTTGGAATTTGCAAAAAAGCACCTAAAAGACTCTCAGACAGTAAGAAACAAGATTATTCGGTCTGATATACCAAGTATTGTGAATGGAGCAAACCAGGCACTGCTCATCGCCTGCACAGTACTATCTCAACAGTAATATGTGGTGGTACCTGCCTCTTGCTGTGTTTTTTTTTTTTTTTTAGCAGCAGGAGCTGAGGACTCATCAAAGTCTTTGCTATATGTTGTTCAACGCAGCAAAATATAGAGATAGACTTAATGAAAACCTAGTCCAGAACATTCAGAACCTCAGACTGGGCAGAAGGTTTACCTTCCAACAGGACTATGAACCTAAATGCACACTAAGACAGTGCAAGAGTGGCTTATGGACAACTCTTTGAATGTCTTTATGTGGCTCAGCCAGAACCTGAAACCTGAAAATGTCTGTTTGTCCACATCCAACCTGACATAGCATGAAAGGTGAAGGGATGAGTAGATAATTTCCAAATGCAGATTTGCAAAGCTTGTCGCATCATACCCAAAAAGACTTGAGGTTGTAAAGGTGCTTCTACTAAGGCCCAATCCCATTTCTACCCCTTACCCCTACTCCTCCGTTTCGTGCGTTCACGTGAAGGGGTAGGGGTGTCTCGATTCTCTTTTGTTTGGAGGGGTAGGGGGAAAAGCCAAATAGCTTATCAAATGAAGATTTTTCGGGACCACACTTCAAACGAAGGGGTATGAGAATTATCTCAGCATAATCTGGCTACAGCGGCAACATGGTTGCCCAAGCGAACAAAAAGACACAAATGTAAGAATTGAAAGTAATCATTTGTTTTATGTTACATTCAATCATGTGTTCATATTTACGATCATGTTGTTCAAAGAAATGTTTGCAAATAAAATCGCTAAAGTTTGCTTACTAAATCATTACTGACTGCATGATAGTTCCGCAACATTTTCTTCTGATCAGGGAGATAACCACCATAGACATCGTGAGGCACAAAATCACTTTACAGAACTTCCTGGCTGGTGGAATGAACTTTCCACCCCAATCCGGAATGCTGAATCGTTCTGAAAACTTTTGTCACCATTTGACTTCATCTTAAAAAAAAAAACTTTGCTTTCTCTTTCCTTAATCTCTCCCTGTCTAGCTTGTACTAATCTGAACAATGCCTGAAACTTTGTATTGCAAGCACTTCTTGCGTTTATTTGCCTCTTTATGATGAATTGTTTATTGTATTCCTCAATTGTAAGTCAGTTTGGATAAAAGCATCTGCTAAATGAATAAATGTAAATGTAATGTAGACATTGAGGGGGCTAGTCCCCCCAGTAATTTGAAATCACTAAACCTTTTTCTGAAATATGGCCAATTTGAGGGAGAGAGAGATGAAAATTGTGTGTACATGTGTCTGTGTGTCTCTTTACAATGAGTGAGTTTACTTAAAAAAAAACAGCTTTTATCCTCTTGTTGCTGGAAAATATAATGTAGCGATTCAGTATTTAAACCATTTTATTAATAAAAGTCGCAGGGCAGCGTTGACAAGTTTCTTTGCTCCTGGATGTGAGCTGTGCGATCTCCTCTGTGTGTGTGTGTGTGTGTGTGTGTGTGAGAATGTTAATTAAAGGCTCTAATGCACACCAGCACCAGTATAGGTGTGTGTATTGTAGGAGCTAGACGACGTATGATGACGTGTAACAGTATAGTAGTGGTGTCCCATTTCTTAGGGGAATATTTTCATCCCTACCCCTTGACACTCTGTTTCAAGGGACAAGGGGAAGGGGTATAAAAAAAGAATTGGGCCTAAGTACTGAGTTAAGGGTATGAATACTTCTGCAGTGTACTTATTTCAGATTTTTTATTTTAATAAATTTGCAAAGTTGTCACATATCTGTTTTTTGCTTTGTCATTGTGGTGTATGGAGTTTCAATTTATGTGGGGAAAATTAATTTAAAGCAGTTAAATGTGAATAAATAAAATGTGAAAAAAATGAAGGGGTACGAATACTTTCGCAAGGCTCTGAAAATCTTTTGTTGTTGTTGTTGTTATTATTATTATTAATAATTTTATTTGAACTATTCAGAAGTTATCTTTGGATTTGGTGCCACCATGCAAAGTCAAGCGATGTCTGCTATTTTGTCCATCAGCCATTTTGAATTTTGTCACAAAATGCTATTTTTTTTATGCGTTGTTACGAAACTTGGTACGTGTCTTCAACATAATGCCTTAAAGGTATTTCAAATGTTTTGGGACAGTGTCACCTTGTGACCAGAGTATATAACCATTTATAAAACTAGTAACTTTGCCTGCTGTCATGATACTGGTCTTGATATGTTCCTTGGGTTGTACAGAGAACAGTAAAACCAATTATGACATGGTCGGCTGAACTTGCTGTTCGCCATTTTGAATCACTTTGAAAACTTTGAATTATTTTTTTCCTCTAATACCTTGATTGTTGGTCCGATTTTCTCAGATCATCGTGAGACCATCCTGGTGAATAGTTATTTTTGATAGATCAAACCATTCTCATATAGCGCATCAACAAATTTGGTGAAGAGCAGTCCAAAGTATAACTTTGTAACTGTCATGACAAACAAGACGTGATAGCACCTGCACAGTTTTGGCACAGTGCCACCTACTTACTGGTCATTAGATATGAAAAACTCATGGCCAAAATGTATGTAAAATTCATGACCAGAAATCAAGAGACTGGTATGCACAGTCAGACAATATCATACTATCCTATTTTAACCAATTTGAATTTTTCTAATGTCATTGGTGTATCATTACAATAATGTGTAATTTGCAATGTTTTCAGCTTTTTTTCATCTGATGTCCATAAATCTCACCTCTTTATATTCATTCAGTTCTACAAAATTCCTTGGTATTTTTTCAACATTCAACCGTTTTGTCTGTCTGCCATTTCGAGTCTTGTCAAAAAATGAACCAAATCAAATTTCACACAGATCATCATCAGACTAAGCCAACAAAAAGTTCATCTTTTTGTAAAAATCCAAAAATGTCAAATCTCAAACCATTTTCGAGAAACTCAGCATCCAAGTTGATAGTGTGTTTTTTGTTGTTGTTGTTTTTTTTTTTAAAGCTGCAGCAATATCTTGGCAACACCACTGCCTATTACATTGAAACGTTTTTGTCAAGTCATGAGTTATGGCCATGGAAAACTGCTGTTTCTGTGAAAATAGGTTTGTGTCTCATTACAAATCTTGATACTAAAATACTGCAATCATCCGTCCATGAAAAATGTTGGAAATTATGCGAAGGTGAAAATGCAACATAAGTGCCATAGTGACACACTTTGGCCCAATCCCAATTATATTTTATACCCCTTCCCCCTACCCCTACCCCTTCCCCTTGTCAATTGAAACAGAGTGTCAAGGGGTAAGGGTGAAAATATTCCCCTAAGAATTGGGACACCACTACTATACCGTTACACATGATCATACGTCGTCTAACTCCTACAATATACACACATATTCTGGTGTGCATTAGAGCCTTGCCGTTCTATATTAATGCGCTGCTTACTGACACACACACACATATATATATATATATATATATATATATATATATATACGCGCAGCTCTGACATCCAGGAGCAAAGAAACTTGTCAATGCTGCCCCACGACTTTTATTAATAACAGTTTAAATACTGAATCGCTACATTATATTTTCCAGCAACGAGGGGATAAAATTACTGTTTTTGAAGTAAACTCACTCATTGTAAAGAGATATGAACAGAAGCTCTCTCTCTCTCGAATTGGCAATAGGTATTTGAGAAAAAATGAAGTGAATTGTAATTATTGGGGGGACTAGCCCCCCTCAATGTCAATGGTGGTTATCGCCCTGATCAGACATGAGTTGTGGCACTATCGTGTAGTCTGTAATATGACGTTAGCAAATTGTAGCAATTTTTGGCAAACATTTCTTTGAATAACATAACCGTAAATATAAACACACGATTGAATGTAACATAAAACACGACTTTGCCATGTTCTTCATTAATAAAATTAAAACCATCAGTGCACATTTTTTCACACCACAATCTGTCAAGTTCATCTTACCAGCAAACATACACTCATTCACATCCTTCTCTTCACTCTCTGAGGCAGAAGTCTCCAAACTCATCCTTTCTAATCATCCTACTACTTGTCCGCTTGATCCTATTCCATCTCATCTCTTTCAAGCCATATCTCCTGCAGTTGTACCTGCACTCACATCATTAACACATCCCTTCTCACACAGAACAACCTCCTCGACAGCAATCAGTCTGGTTTCAGAAGTGGGCATTCAACCGAGACTGCCTTGCTCTGTCGTTGAAGGCCTAAGACTGGCAAGATCGGATTCCAAATCTTCAATACTTACAGTATCTTGCTGGATCTGTCTGCTGCTTTTGACACGGTTAACCACCAGATCCTCCAGTCAACCTTATTGGCAAAGGGCATCTCAGGAACCGCACTCCAGTGGTTTGAGTCTTACCTTTCAGATAGGTCCTTCAAGGTATCTTGGAGAGGTGAGGTGTCCAAGTCGCAACATCTAACTACTAGAGTGCCTCAGGGCTCAGTTCTTGGACCACTTCTCTTCTCTGTCTACATGGCATCACTAGGTTCTGTCATTCAGAAACATTGCTTTTCATAACACTGTGCTGATGACATTCAACTTTACCTCTCATTCCATCCTGATGATCCGACGATAGCTGCTTGCATCTCAGCTTGTCTAACAGACATTTCTTGCTGGATGAAGGACCATCACCTTCAACTCAACCTTGCCAAGACAGAACTGCTTGTGGTTCCATCAAACCCTCTTCCATCTTTATTTGACCCTCTAACTCCAGCGCACTCTATTCTAATTCTATTCTTAAAAAAAACTTGTCCCTTTTAGACTTGCACTCTATTTACTGCTTGTTTTCTTAAGAAAAAAAAAACTAACACTAGCTTTTCTAATCTTTTTGTATTCTATCTATTTGTTTTCTTTTTATTTATTATACAATTAACAAAAGCAAAAAAGGCCTATAACACTAGCTTGCTCTTTTCTATTCTATCTGTTTTCTTTTTATTTATTATATAATTACAAAAAAAAACCTTGCTACGTGTACTGCGTTAAGCTAACTGAGACTTGTTATAGCACTTGCATATCATTGCTCTTTTATTGATTTTAATAGCTTTCATTGTCCTCATTTGTAAGTCGCTTTGGATAAAAGCATCTGCTAAATAAATAAATGTAATGTAAAATAAAACAAATGATTACTTTTCATTCAAATCTTTATTAATGCCAATAATGCTTACATGGTTCTTTTTGTTCGCTCGGGCAGTCATGTTGCTGCTGTAGCCGGTTTACACTGAGATAATTCATACCCCTTCGTTTGAAGTGTGTTCCCGAAAAATCTTTGTTTGAAGGGCTATCTGGCCCTTCCCCTACCCCTCCAACCAAAAGAGAATCGAGACACCCCTACCCCTTAATGTGAACGCGCAAAACAGAGGGGTAGGGGAAGGGGAATGGCTAGGGGGTAGAAATGGGATTGGGCCTTTGTGTTCTCAAATGTGCATTAAATTTAAATGAAAAAGAATTAATAAATAAATAAAATTAAACGAGCCACTTGGAGATGCTGATAATGCTAAAGATGCACCGGTGCCGCACTTCACTCTGAGACATATTACAACAGATTATATACTTATTTATAATACGCATAGTTCCAGTCCTTGATTATGTTTAGCCTAGCCTCATTCAAAGAGACATACAATTTGCTATAAACACACCTGTAACCTTACATCAGTATATTGCTATTCTGTCTGTGTGTTGCTTGGCAACCATTCTTGTTGCTGTTTTTTTTATTTTTATAAAACCTTCTCTTATGAAGTATCCATTTTATAAAAGCAGTAAGCCTCTTGAAGCCATGGTTTAGTGATTTTTAAAACCGCTTAGCTTTAAAATCACTGTAAACCATGGCTTCCTGGGGCTTTTTATTTTTAATAAAAATAAAATGCTTTTTTTTTAAAATGGGAGTTTCAGTAATTTGCAGTTTGATGAACACACTATGCCAGACATGTAAAAATAGGAATGTCAATTGATTCCAAAAGTTTAACAAAAAATTACAATTATTCAGATAAGCTTCAATTTTGTTAAATTGTTATCAAGTCTGTCAGTCACAGTATGTCTGAGGTAGAATTGCTACCATTCACATAGAACACATTATTGGTTTATTTTATGGAGCTATTTGTTTTGTACTGTCCTGTAATAAGGTTGACTAATTTCTGTGCACCTGTTTCAGGTTGTAGCCTCCAAGGCGGCTAATGCCAAGCTGGAGAGTGAGCTGAAGCAGGAAAAGGCCAATCTGCTGGATATGCAGAAGATATTGTGTGATGAGCGCAAGCTCATGTCTGCCATGGATATGGAACATCAGAGTCAACTGGTAGAAATGGAGCAGAGACACCAGGAGAAGGTCTGCTTTCATAGAAGCTCTTCATAGATGTTATAATGCTGTTGTCATAGTAAAGCATAAGGCAAAGTTACCTTTTTTCATAGAATTAATGTTTCATTTAAATGATAAATTTCACTTAATTGCAAGTAGGTGTTGTCTTTAAGAGTGTAATTAAATTATTTATTGGAATGTTTGTGTAATCATTTTTACACTGTAGAACCATTTCAACTAACTACAAGAAAGGCGATTAAAATGGTGAGCAGTTACATTATCTAAAATTGGCACTTTTCCTTTTGCATTGATGTACAGTGTTGTTGATAAATGAGATTTTGCTGTATTTGGCTGAGCAGTCATTTCGGTAGCTCACCAATTTACTAAATTTCTCTAATACATAAAATAAGTAAGCTTGACTAGAGTTCTTGCAGGGAGAATAATTTATTCATGATAGTAGTATAACAGTTCTTCAACATTTATGTTAGCTGGTCTGTCTTCAAGGAATCTTAACCCAAAGTTCTGTCTGTGGGACAACTGTTAGGACCTCCCACATAGTGTCCTAAATAAACAAGATTAAATGTCCTTTGTGTGGACTGTCTGGCCCACCTATGTGCGCCATCACCTGTATAGACCATCTTGATTGCGGGGCATTAAAAAGCATTAAAAGTCATTAAATGGATTTTGTGAAAATTAAGGCCTTAAAGGGATCGTTCACCCAAAAAGAAAAATTCTGTCATTACTCACCCTCATGTCTTTCCAAACCTGTAAGACCTTTGTTCACAAGACCTTCGGAACACAAATTAAGATATTTTTGATGAAATCCGAGAGCTGTCTGACCCTCCATAGACAGACACATCTGAAATGTTCCCAAGTCCAGAACCGTATCAAGGACATCAGGAAAATAGTCCATGTGACATCAGTGGTTCAACTGTAAAATAATGCATGCGCATGCTGTTCTCGATGCGAAAACAAGGGTACAGCATGTTCAATGTGTTCAACGTAAGCAGCAACATGTGCATGTGTTGTTTACATTTAAAGGAAAGCACGCACATGCATTGTGATACTCTCCAAAATTGAAGGTCAGAGAGCTCTCGGATTTCATCAAAAATATCTTAATTTGTGTTCTGAAGATGAATGAATGTCTTACGGGTTTGGAATGATATGAGGGTGAGTAATTCATGGTGAACTATCATTTTAAATAGCATTACATTTTTAGGTGAACTATCCCTTTAAATAGCATTAAAAGTCAGGCATTAAAAATTTTAGATGGTTTTGAAGAAAAAAATGACCAGTTTATTTTGAATATAGCGCCTTCATAATTAACTTTTTAATTTGCTATTGCAAAATATGTACATTGATGTGATACACGCACAGAACAATTTTGGTAATTGTCTCCGGTCGGTGCAAATTGCCATTTAATGATTCTGATTTGATTATATTTGTTGTAAATGACGATTGAAAAAGAGTAATGTATTGACAGTAACCACCAGTTGAGACTAACACAGCCTATCTGTGTGTGAGAGAATCTCGTGAAGAAATCAAAACTAATGAGCACAACAGCACAGACAAAGAAACTCACAGAACAAACATACTATGGTAAAAAATTGAGGTTTTATATTTATAACATAATGTAGCCTAGTTAAGCAACATGAGATGACCAAGAGAGTGCCGTTTCCTGAATATCAGCATGATTGCAAATTTGACAATGATTTTATTCATTCAATAAACAAGTAATAATCATTCTATAATATCCGAGCAGCACACAGCAGTTTCGTTACTGAATGATTTAGCATTTTTGAACGAATCGTGAGTCAATGAGTCAATCATGAGTCATTCAGTGATCCATTCATAAAGATGTTTGATTCACTTGCTTGATTCTTGAACAAATTAGCCATCTGAAAGAATTGCTTGAACTAATGACTCAAATGTTCACTTATTAACAGTCACTTGCCGCCACCTACTAGGGATGCGCCGATACTGGTATTGGTATCGGGTCCGATACTATGCTCCTGTACTCGTACTCGTTAAAATGTCTAGATACAAAACGCTGATACCACACAGCATGTGATAAGTGCCGTATTCAGACAAAGAAACACAGACAATAGAACAACAGATAGCAGAATGGAGTTATTATTAGAGATTAAGGATGTCTACGCAATTAATATAAACATTCAGTATTAACGCCTGTATAGCTGATGTGCGCGAGCTGATAAGCCAATCACGCTGAGTGGACTGAGTGCGCAAACTTGTCCAGTTAATATCCCCTTCTCACAGACATCACTGGACAGTTTGTAGTTCGGTCGTATATGTCAAAAACAAGTAAGTAAAACAATGCACAAGTTACGTTACTTAATGGTAGGGAGAGAGTGCACTTCTGTTGCGTGATCTTTGATGTTCGCTCGCTTAGCACACGCATCATTTGGATTTTTAAAATCTAAATCGTAACATTTATTTTCAACCTTAAGCATGCACAACTTTATGGTGAAAGTGAAACTATCAGCCAGTGTAAATGCGCTTGTCTGTACTGTACTTGTCCCTCTCATTCTGCACCAATACAAATACGTGCACATGTTGCGCATGTTTTGCTTGCTTCATGAGTGTTTCTGTATTAGTTGCTTTGAAATATAAATCTCAGCACGTTTCAGATGAAAAAACGCTACTTATATTTCTGAAAGATTTATTATGAGTGGTTCCCTGCATTATTACAGCAAAATGTGTGATTAGAGCTGCTCCATTACAGCGGCTCAGTACTGTAATGCTAAATGACTAAATGTAAATGTAAATGTAATGCTATTAAATTAAAGGTTATGTACCATAGAGCAAAAAATTAACAGGTGAAAGTAACTAAAACTTGTAAAATACATTTTAATGGGCATAATTAAGTGTGAAAATAACTGAAGGATATATCTATTTGATAAATGAAGTTAACCAACTAACATTATTCTAGTGCTGTCAGATGATTAATCGCGATTAATCGCATCCAAAATAAAAGTTTTTGTTTACATAATATATGTGTGTATACTGTGTATATTTATTATGTATATATAAATACACACACATGCATGTATACATTTAAGAAAAATTAGGGCTGGGTAAAAAATATTGATATCTCGATATTAATAGATTCTCATTTTTACGGAACTATATAGATTCTTAAATCCCAAGAATCGATTAGTCTAGCCTGTTTTCAGTTAATGGACGGAACATTGAAGGGCACTTCCCATCCAATAAATCACAATAAGCATTGTGCCTTTGGTACTTTTAATATGAAAACGTCTCAGATTTCGAATTCTGTCCATTGTATTGCAGTACTTAAACAATAAATGCCGTTTTGACGCTGTTTAATGTGAAGTGACAGATCGCTGTAGCGCCTCAGTTCAACAGACGCAGCAGTGCGAGGCGCACGTGAACTGATCATCTCCTCCACATTAATACCAGTTTCAGCACAAAATAAACATGACTAAACATCCGAAGGTAAGTTAAAAGAAAGAGTACAACTTTACAATCCGTATCCTGTCTCATGTAATCGCTCAATCAGTGTTTTAGCCACGCAAAGATGTCAATAATGGCTTGTAAACAATGTCATGTTAATGTCACATTTACCTCAGAAAAAACGTATTCGGTGACCATACATTTTTTAGTCAGATAGAAAAATAAACTGTAGAGAGGGGTATTTTGCTAAATATATGACCCATATAACATATTCATTATAAGTTTTACTGTTCTTCAATGTTTAATTTGTTTGAATAAATCAAATTTTCTTATGACAGCCACCATTTAAATGTTTATATTTAAAAAAAAACGAATTGAAGTAGAAATATTATGTAATTGTAACAT